GCTAGTTTTATAAGGTCCTATCTTCAAACTAAACATGCCTACATGTACATCGATTTTGTTTTTATTCCATTAAAGGTAGGTTTTTATATCGGATTAGTAGGTATTATGAATCATGAGAGATAAATTTTTAATAATCTAACACAATATGAGTTACAAAAATTTAAACTTAAAAACGTCTATATTTACAATCTCTATTATCATTTGAACTTCCCCTTAAGTCCTCTATTGCCTTTAAGATAGCGTTTCTATCTTTTTGCTGTATCCTATGAACTAATGAGTACTTTCTAAGAGTTAACCAGATTGAAATTTAGGGAAAGGTTTCGAAACTAAACTAGACATTTTTGATTATTCGATATACTTGATTTACAAGTAAATTAGGGGTAATTCGTGCCTGGGCACGGTACAATGTAAAGAGATTTGATGGATTTTTTTTTTTTGGGGGGGGGGGAGAGAGGAAGGGGAGAGAGATTCAATGTAAATGGTTTGAGAGGAATGTTAGTGGCTATTAGATAAATTTATTGAGATCATCGAAATAAATTTATTGAAGTCTATTTTATTTATATTTATAGATACATGTATCTTGAATTTACATTACTGTTGTGGGTTAAAATATGAAGAAGAGAGCTTACCAACTAAGCTAATTGATGCTTCTCTTCTACCATAGCGTCATCCATCGACATATTGAAAAGCATGCACTTTACTTCATAGTGGACCGGGAATACCGACAAAAATCAAAATTTCTATAATCAATTTTAGGTTATTTTTATTTGGGTTTCTCCAAAATTCGAATAATTTATAATAATATTTCTTCATCGACCTCATACTATGAAAACTTTTGATTATATTCTCTTACCTAAGGCAATTAATCAGTGAATTCAAACGACTATAAGACTATTGAGACCAAAGACACGATTTATGGTCGGTTTGGTAGGACAGATAAAAAATAAAAGAGATAAAAAATAGAATTCTTCATTCCTTTTTTTGTATTTGTTAAGAGCGATAAAAAATAGGAAGGGTTGATTTTTTTTGTATTTGATAAGATGAAAAAAAAAATTATCTTTATTTTTTTTATTTGAAAAAAGATAAATACATATTTTACCATTATATCTATATATGAAATTAATATATTACATAATATGTAATTGATAAATACTATATATGTATATATCAAATAATATATAAACAAATAACATACATTTCAATATATATAATTAATTTTTCATCTATTTTTTTCCCTAATTTAAATATATTGATTTTGATAAGTTGAAATGAAAGTTAATTCATTTCTTTTTTCATCATTTCTATTTTCCTTCTTTAACAATTATGATATTTTATCTATTTCTCAAACTTTTCATCATTCTATTTTTTTATGAAACGAAGCATTAGTATTAATGCAATTTTTTTTAATTCAAGTAAAAATCTATATATCAGCGTGATATATAATGCATAGCATTTTAGTGGAGAAATTTAAATTTTTATTTGTATTGCTTTTGAAAACTTTCTGAATATTTGTACTAATTTAGAGATATAATCTATAAAATTGTTTATAATCAGTTACAACTGTGTCTTAAAAATGAACTCCATTTTGTATTAGAATTTATAAATAATACAATAATTGTAATGATTTAGTTTTCTAATTATGTTATCGATTAAGTCCATACGACATTACTTAATAAATATACGGTTCGATTACGATTACGATTACGATTGTGATATACTTATACTTCTATTTTCATTAATAAAAATTTTGACAAATATATATTTTTGTGTTTAGTATTTTTTGTTTTTTTTTATTGATTTTCAATTAATAATTATAAATTATTTATAAAATCAACGATCAGATTTAAATTTTGAGTGTTGATCTGAAGCATCCAAAAATCAAACACATTCTTCAAAAGCCACAAAATATATATTTTTTTCTCTATTTATCAAAAAAAAAAAAAACACTACAAAATATCACGTTGGTTCTCCTGTGCTGGTAGCGTTTCAAAACGCCACAAAAGATAAGCAGAACCAAGATCCGAATAATCAAACAATTCATCAAAACCCACACACTCGCTGTTGCCGGTGTTTTGCCCATCGGTACCCCGATTCCAGAAGATTCAATCCAGTTATAGCTTGTGATCTGATCATCAAACCACCATAACTCACTGAGTTCCGACGAATCTCGCACTAACTCGAACTGATCATCCGGATTCTGAACCTCGATTGTTGATGTATTTGATGGAGGAGGGAGGCCGAGTTCATCGTCAGACGCCTCCAAAAGGTCTACGAGATCCAGCTGAAATAACTCGCCCGAATCTGACGTCAGATTCTCAAAATTCACACACGATGAAAAGCCAGAAATCTCTTCTTCAAAGATCTTCATAAATAAGTCCAGATCCTCGGTTCCTGTCCATTGATCCGGATCATCCAGATCGTTGAGAATGTCTTCTCTGAGTCTCTTCACTTCAGGTGACTCGTCCGAGTCATCACGGAGTCGCTTCTTGTTACTCAACTCTTCCATGAAAACACACCAACGTATTATAGTTGGAGAGGGAGAGAGAATTGAAGAAACGAAGTGGTTATGAAAACACAACGTAGAGAAACCAAGTATTATAGTTGGAGAGAGAGAGAGTTGAAAAAGCGAAGTGGTTGTGGAGAGAAATGGCGAAGAGATGGAAGCTTATATAGCATTAGAGCGGAGACAGCGTAGAGTTAAAGGAGAGAGAATATTCTTTATTTGCAATACGGGGTCAGTTCAATGGGACCCATCGATCTAAGTCAATTTACCCCACTGCGCCTTTTCGCCATTCCGGCTCTCTTTTTTGGCTCTCGCTATTGTCTCGGCTCGGCTGAGAGGAATCACATCGATGTAAATTAATGGTGAGTTATCTTCAGGTTATTGTTTGTTATAATTAATTCAAGAATACTATTTAGTCGAGTTGTAACAAATATTGAGATCCACTTTTAATATAGTGGTTGTGAATTTAGTCACACAACCGTTCTAAACACTTAACACTCCAGTGCTCTAGTTGTGAATTTGCGTTTTACGAGCAAATTTTTTGTGAATTTAAAATCACTTAAATATCCAATATCTTGACAAATGACGTTTTCAAATCTAGCGAAAAAGTTTCACGTGACAGAATTTCAAAAAAAGCGAGAGATGATCAGTTATAGTCACATTTGAACATAAGGAAATAACCAAGTAAGACTTATCAATAGGAACCATCGACGAGAGCAAAAATAGTCAAAAAAGATGGCTATAAAATAACATTCAATAAAAAAAAGTAAGATAAGATCTAATCATTCAAAAGACCCATTATCAAGATATCATTAAGAATAATTTTAGATTAGTTTAAAGTGCAACTAGTGTTGCAACCAAGGTAGATAATTAAATTACAATACTAGTTGCACTTTAAACTAATCTAAAACTATTCCTAATGATGCCCCGAGTGTTTGAATTATTAGATCTTGTCTTATTTTTTTTATTGAATGTTCTTTTATAACCATCATCTTCGATTATTTCTGCTCTCACCGATGGTGCCTATCGATAACTCTTAGTTGTCAACTTTATGAAAAGTCAAAAGTATGGGCGGCACCTTCCAAAGTTAAGTAGCGTACACTCCTAAAATTTATGTCATCTTCTACTTTTTAACTTAGCCTAAACAACATAGATCTGCACATCCTGCCGAATAATGCCATTATTTTTTTGTTCAACAGTTAATTATGAGTATTCAAATTAGTATTTGTGCACCTCGATTAATCTCTTTTTCACTCCAATCAAAATTAAATTATTTACACCAAAATTAAGAATATTTATGACAAAAAATTTTCTCGTAATATAACCTTAAAGAATTGCATAAAAAACAACAATGGTTATATGACATTTATAATATAAAATAAGTTTGATTTCAATAAATTTATTTTATAATTTTAAATAAATTCATTTAACGACCATCAACATCCTTCTCAAAATTATTTATATAAAAATTTTTCACCACCTAAATTCATCATTTCTCATTTAATTTACACCGTCGAGCACGAGTTATCTCCGTAGAACTAATGAAATACAGATCATAGTTTGTTTTCTCAAGCAAAATAATTGCTCAATCTTGTACTTGTCCTGTGCCAGCTCACAAAATATCCGCTGAGGAGGCGACACGCCGACACTTTTGTTTTTAAATGTCTGGCAAGTAGAATTTTTAAGATTTAATAATAAAGCGTTGGACCCACCAAACAAGCCGGTGAACTTTCCAGAAACAAAAGACCAAACTCAAACCCAACATGCCCATCTTAGCTGTCGTCGCCACGAAACCTTTGACCTCTCACCATATCCACGTGGAATTTTCTTTGTTTGATATATATTGGGCAGACTTATCTAAGGAGATACCAAATCATCAGAATTTATGGGTTTGTTTGATTTGTTTCTTAAAAACAGATTTTTTTTTATATTTTATTTTCAAATACAAGAAAACACAAAAATATTATTCGGGTGGCTGTTTTTTGAAAATTATTTTCAATTTTCTTTTTTTAAATGAGGCCAACTTCTGAGAACATCGTATACATATTTTTACTCAAACAAGATCGTCAAAAAATTTTAAAGCACGAGAAACACAACTCTTTTATGAAATATGAACATTAAGTTTCATCGGAAGCATTTTCACCCATTTTTTGAACTTTGTCCTTTTCAAATTCAGCATCATCGAAGATCAAGTTTCGTCCTCTTGGAATCTACCGTCAAGCTTTGTCCTCTATTTTCATATACATATCAAATTTCGTCCTCTTTGAATCCAGCATTGTCAAAGATCTCCAGAGTAACTCGATTTGTGTATATCTTTAGATCTAAACAAAGATCTGCATGTTTAGATATATATACATTATGTTAGTAATTGGCAAAGGAAGTGGTATTACTTTGTGAATCATTGTTCAAACAAATTTTATTTTATTTTTTTCTTAAAGTTATTTTTAAAAATATATAACCAAACAGATTTTATAAGATAAAAATATTAAAACACACTTTCTTAAAATTATTTTTTAAAAATTATTTTTGAGATACAATTCAAAACACACCCTCTTATAATTTACAATACAAATTTTGGAGCTAGTTACAAATAAAAACATCTTTTGAATTAATCTTAAAAAAATTATAATTTTTAGGATCATTATATAACTTTTGCAATTTAAGTTACAAATTTTTAATGGTCAGTGATTGATTTTAACTATTGCAATCTCTGAAAAATTATAAATAACTCCAAAAAATTATACGAAAATTCTTAAAAAGTTATACATGATGAAGTTTTTTTTAATACCTTATTATTCTCGTAGATGGATCATTCAATTATGGGGGGGGGGGGGGGGGGGGGGGGGGGGGGGGGGCGCTACGTGAAAAGCGATGGAGCCGGTAGCATCAACCTAATTACACGATGCAGGGCATAGGTGGATAAGCTTGTAATAGTGTATGGTCGGTGTGGAAAAATCTTACCTCTCGTACACAATTTAATTAAATGGGTAAAAATTTATAACTCACGACTTGTTTATTAAATAATTACATGATACAATTTATTTAATCTGTTTTAATAAACAAACTGTGTTGGGTAGAATTTAGTTAATATGATAATCTTTTTAGCCGCCACCCGACAAAATATATGACATTTAATGATGCCTATTAATGGTGTAATTTATGCGGTTGTGTAGTAGAGCTTGGTGTTCAAAAAGAAGAAATGGATTAAATATCTATTAGCGATAATGATGGAGATTCACTAGGATGCCCAGTCTACATTACTAGGCTCGTAGTGGTGATTTACCAATTACAGAGACAACAACTATTAATTAAAATCGATAGACAAGAGATTTATAGTGATTTACTAGTTCGGAGGTTTGACTAGTCCACTCTAATAAAATTTTTTACTCTTGGAATGTTTTCTATTATTTGGGAAAAAAGATTACAAGGCTACAGAGAGTATATTCTCAAAAATCAGATCCCCCCCCCCCCCCCCCAAAGCAAGGGATTGGTCCATAGGTATAGTGTGTAGAAGTTTTGCGTAACCAGCGTGATCCCTGAGTAGCTGTCATGATCCTTGCGTAACAGTCGTGATCCTTGCACAACATGCCAACAACAAAGATTTTTGCGTAATCAACGTGATCCTCTGGGAGTTGTTACGACTCATGTGTTGAGAATTTTTTGCTGTTAAAGACTATATTTTCCAAGTGTAACGTAACCTTTTGAAAAGTTTGAGCAGTCACTGTCACAGTGTGCACAAGGAAAAACCTGAGGTGGAAGACTTGAGTTGGGAGACTCGAGGTGGAAGACCTGAGTTGAGAAGTCCGAGTTGGAAGACCTGAGCTGGTAAGTCTGAGCTACTTTTGGGCCAAGCTTAACCTTGGATAATTTTTGATATCATCAATTGTCCCCCGGTCCTGAACCAAGGCTGTCTTGCTTGACGTGGATCGAGAATGACTTGAATAACTTACATATGTTTATGAGGTTAAGAGCTCATTTTGTATTTATGAGCTTAATAACTCATCATATGCTTATAACTGAAAAACTTATCGTATGTTTATGAGTTGAAGAGTTCATCATTTGTTTATGAACTGAAAAATTCATCTTGAGTTTACGAGCTTAAGAATTTATTGTATGTTTGTGAGTTTGAAAGTTCATCTTAAATTTACGAGTTAAATAGCACATCTTGAAACACGATGAGCCAAAATAACTATGATTTTGTACTTAAGTCTTAGCCCCGTTCAATTGGTTTTTACTATTCGGGGCTAAGTGAACGACTTCTGTTAAAGAAAACAAAAGCTGCAAAAAATCTCTATCATGCATGGCAATATACAAACCCCCGATAAATTGAACAATCTTTTGGAATCCGGTATCATTAAGATTATTGCAAAAAGAAAGCATATGTAACTCTTCAATATACGTTTAAACAAACTTGTTGCCTTCCCTGCAATTTTATATTGTAGGAGTATAATCTATGACCTGCTTATAATTTAGTGTTTTGTTTGGTATGATATAAAAATAGATGGATGAATTTTCTTTCCAATTCATCAAAATTTAAAAAAAAATGGATAAAAAGTTAACTATTTAGGTTAAAATGTATTTTATTTGTCTATATATATCATTTGATATATACATATATTAATTTCATATATAAATATAATAAAAAAATATGTATTTATATATTTTTAAAAAAATTAAAAAAAAAATTTCATCTTAATTAGGAGTGAAATTTTTTGACTTAATACGACTCGAACTCGATATGAATTTTATGACACGAACTTGATTATAACTCGACACGAACTCGATATGAATTTTATAACACGAACTTGATTATAACTCGACACAAACTTGAAAATGACCTGATACACGAACACGAAATATAAATAGCTCTTATTCAGTTAAACCTGTCAAACATAAAATTGACACCATCAACTCGTTTATTTAAGAATAAACAATTACTCTATTTTCTCGTTTGTATGGTCATACAAAATTAATATGTTTAACTATTATTATAGACATAAAAT